TGACAACATGGACCCTGCTTGGGATTCTGTCTCCCTCTCTCTCTCTCTGCCCCCCACCACTCTCTCAAAATAAACAAAAAACAAAAAACAAAAAACAAAAAAAACAAACTCCCTTCCTGGCTGGCTGGCCTCAAGCTGTGGCACAACTGGGACTCTCTGCTCTTGAAAAGAGGAAGACAGAAGTCACTCCATTTACAGTTAGATTCTTAGGAGGTGTGGGTTTAAATTATACTGTAAACGGGGAGGTGCGACTGGTCAGCACAGACGGGCAGAGAAATGGCTTCCACCTCCTGTCCTGCTACACAGGTTACACCCACCGCAGCAGTAACTACCACCACCACTCCCCCCCCCTCCCAAGGCTCCAAGGCCCAGAGGGGCGCCCTCCTGCTGTATGTTGAGGGGCCAGGGCCCCGCACCGCTGGGCTGGGCGCAGGCCCACCTCTGCTGTCGGGAGAGAGCACGCTCTGGAGGCGAGGCCCCACAGAGGGTGCGATGCAGCCAACACGGGGCCTGGGGGTGCAACGCTCTGACCCAAGTCGACTGCGAGAACAAAACAAGCAACTAAAACCTGGGGTCAGAGGATGGCTAAGCTCAGAGGCCTCCATGGGATCAAGACTAGGACAGTAAGGGGCGCCTGGGGGCTTCAGTCGGTTAAGCATCCGACTCTTGATTTCGGCTCAGGTCATGATCTTGCGGTTCGTGGGATGGAGCCCTGAGTCGGGCTCCAGGCTGACAGCGCAGAGCCTGATTAGGATTCTCTCCCTCTCTGTCTAGGCCCCTCCCCGGCTCATGTGCTCTGTCTCTCTCTGTCTCTCTCTCTCTCTCTCTCTCAAAATAAATAAATCAACTTTAAAAACAATTAAAAGAACAAAAAAGAAGTCGGGCAGGTAAGACCATCTGTATCTTTCCCTCCCTTCCCCTAAGACCCCAAAATAAACAGGGCTCTTGGGATGCATCGACAGTGAAGGCGGGAGGGAGGGCGGCCCTAATGCCCAAATGATCCCCCCCACACTCACTGACAGCCTTCGACCCCGCCCCTCCAGGATCAGGATTCCCATGCTGGCTCCACCCAAATCCAGAGCCCCGGTCAGAGCCGCCCTGCAAACCAAAGCCTATGATTTATTAATTTCCCTGTTAGCCACTAACTGGGTCCCTCTCAGACCCTCTTATTTCATGTTACGGCATCTTCCCGAACCCCCAGGGGACGGGGCTCTGACTCACAGATCAAAGAGAAGTGAGCTCATTTTATTCTTAATATTTGTTTTTGAGAGAGAGCGAGAGACAGAGTGTAAGCAGGGGGAGGGGTAGAGAGAGAGGGAGACACAGAATCTGAAGCAGGCTCCAAGCTCTGAGCTGTCGGCACAGAGTCCAACGCAGGGCTCGAACTCATGAACCGCGCGTGAGATCATGACCTGAGCCGATGTCGGACGCTTAACCGACTGAGCCACCCAGGTGCCCCTGAGAAATGAGTTCTAAAGGGAACCTCTTGCTACCAGAATGTTCCATGTGTGCAGGGTTGTGGCCAGCCTGCAGACCCCAGTGCCCCACCTGGGACAGTAGCTAGTCCAAACTGTGCTCTCTGGAACTAATCAATGACTAGAAAAAGGTCAGGAAAATGAGAACCAATGTAATGCTTTATCTAATACGTCATAGGTCGTGTTTGAGTTAGCGGAGCCTAACGTGGGGCCAAATTAGTTCTCTTTAACGCAGGGGATCATAGAGGATGGGAGGAGCCTCACCCCGTCCCCGGTGGGGTCAGCACTGCCTTGGAGAAGATGCACACACTAGACCACCCAGCGGAATGGCCTGTGCCTGCAGCCCACACACCTGCACGCCCCCCGGCTCCCTCCGTGTCCCGTGAAAGTGCATTTTAGACTCGTCTGGCTAGGACTAAGGGTGCCGTGTGAGGCCACAGAGAATACAAACTGGTTTTTAAAAAATCTAAGACCTTCAGGGCACACAGGTGGTTTAGTCGGTTAAACGTCCAACTCTTGATTTCGGCTCAGGTCATGATCTCACCGTTCGTGAGTTTGAGCCCCTCGTCTAGTTCTGCGCTGACAGGGCGGAGCCTGCTTGGGATTCTCTCTCTCTCTCTGCCCCTCCCCCACCTGCACCCGCGCTCTTCTCCCCCCCAAATAAATAAATAAGCATTTAAAAAAAATACAAAAAACAAAATCTAAGACTTTCTACCTTGGACTCATCCCTGGAGAAGCCCATCACGAGAACTGTCAGTGACCACAAAGGCACCCGTGTCCACTGCCCAGCCATCCCCCAGACCCAGCGGGCTCCAGGCCCCCCAAGCACCCAATGGGTCCCACACATGCCGCACGAGAGGTCACCACATCAGCGTTCGGGTCAAGAAAGGGTTTTGTGGCTACAGTGTTTTTGGACCTGCTGTCCCTGGACCAAACTTCGGGGACCCACCATTTAGCCCCTACACCTAGTGACCTTGCTGGGCATGCAAACTCATCCAAACGGGGGACGGACAGCCCCAGACCCAGCTGCCCAGTCCGGGAGGGTAGACGTGACACGCCCCACACGGTGCCTTCCACGTCAGCAGACCCCCACGCTTAAGCTGCCACGGATAACTAGATTTCAGGCCCCAGATAGGAGGACGAACTGTGAAACGAGGCTTCGTTTCATTGCGTGCCCACGCCAAGATGTCCCTGATGGGGCTGTCGGAATCCAGAGGCTGGCGGCTTTGATGGTAACAGGTAAGACCGGGACGCAGGGTGGAAGCTGGGTGGAAGCTGAGCAAACAAAGAAGTGGGGACAAGCGTGATCAGGGACGCCTCGGGCCTTTTTCCAGGTGTGTTCCTTCCACGCTGCAATCAGCTTGCCAGGGACAAAACCAGTCCCAACCCTCAAGGAGTCTCGGCACGACGCGTAACAACCCCGAGGCACGGATGAAGGAGCCGGTCAGCGGGAGGGAGCACAGGGGCCACGAAGGATGCCCACGGCTATGTGGGAGCATCAGCCCGACCCATGACACCAGGCACCTTCCTTCCGTACCACGCCTGCCGGAGTTTCTGGCACGAAGTGCTCGCCGAGGAAGGCGAAAACAGAGGCAAGACAAAGCACCTGTGCCCTGGGTGTGGGACACGGATGGGATGGGGGCCACGATGAGGTCACTTCTCCCATCATTTCGTTCCCCACGCTGATTTCTGCAGCCTCCGGGAAGAGCCAGATAGGACGCTTCTGCCCCTTTTCTTCATCTCCCTCTGGTTTACAGAAACCAGTCTGTACCAGTGGTGGTGTTCCTCCAGGACTGGGGTAAAAGTCTGATGTCGCGGTTCATGGGAAGCAAGCCTCACTCGGTGGGACGGGGGCAGGAGCAGGGAGGCCAGAGCTAAGCCCGACTCCGTGTGGGGAACATGGTCTCCATGAGGGCTCACTGGCTGGCGGGGAGCAGGGAGGGATCACACCCCAGAAAAAAAAAAAAAAAAATCAACTTTCATGTTCGCTATCCAGAGAGAAAGAAACACGAAATGTCCACCCGTGCACCTTTTGAACCTGAACAGGATTCTAAAATGTTACTCAGCATCTAACGCGAGGCTGATGCTCGGGAAGGATCTGCTGAATAAACCCGATTAATGAAGGGATTAGAACCCTCCTGTTCTGCACTATAGACAGGCAAGGAAAACCCAAGGGAGTCCAGGGTCATGACAGGTGGTAACACGGAACAGGAGAAGGGACGTGAGTATAGGAAATGGGGAGAGAAAGGCCAGCACCTCTGTCCCCGAGAAATCTGGACCCGACTTCCTCGGTCCAGGGTCCTGTCTGTTAGGGGCTGACCTCAAACATTCCCATGCTGGAATGCTGACCCCAGAATGTGCCGCTGGAACACTGACCCCAGAATGTGCCATATCTGGAGACAGGGTCTTTAAAGAGGTGCTTAAGGGGGCACCGGGGTGACTCAGTCGGTTAAGCGTCTGCCTTCAGCTCACTTCATGATCTCAGGGCTCACAGGTTCAAGCTCCGTGTTGGGCTCTGTGCTGACAGCTCGGAGCCTGGAGCCTGCTTCTGATTCTGTGTCTCCCTCTCTCTCTCTCTGCCCCTCCCCCACCACTCACACTCTGTCTCTCAAAACTGAATGAATGTTATAAAAAAAATCTAAAGAGGTGATTAAGATAATTTGGGGTCTTGGGTAGGCCTCAATCCAAGAGGACTCATGTCCTTAGAAGAAAAAGAAAGCAGAACCCAGAGGCACACGGGAGGAAGACCATGCTGGCACCGACGAGAAGACGTTCATCTACACGCCAGAGATGGAGGCTTCCTAAGACTCTCAGACTTCTGGCCTCCAGAGCTGTGACCAAACGCACATGTGCTGTTCAAGCCGCCCTACCCAGGGTATTTGTTACGGCAGCCTGAGCTGACTGATACACTCTCCAGCACCCACCGTCCTCCCTGGGACCAAAGGCTGTAGCAGGCCCGTTTGCTGGAAGACTGTTCCGGGCTCAGTTCTCCAACTAGCGTCGCAGCCCTGTGGACAGCATGGTAAGAACCCCACAACCCAGCCGACCGGGACAGAAGGGAAGGTCCAGGTGTAGCACCTGCCCCAGAGGCTCATTATTTACGGGCACCCCACTACCAGCGCTAAGGTGGGACGCACCCCGCACAAGTTCCAAGCTCTATCGGAAAACAAAGCCTGAGGCAGGAGCCGCCCCCCATTCTGTCCTGGCTCGTCGCCAAACACAACAGCTTCTTGGCGGAACACCAAAGGGGGGCAGGCGAGGGAGAGGCACAGCGGGTGTGGAGGGTGGTCTGCAGAGCCCAGGGAGGCCCAGTGAGATCTCTCAAGTCACCCAGCTCAGTGCAGGGAGCAGAGGGGAGGCAAGGGGACACAGAGAGACAGGCGCAGAAACACCGGAAGAAAGCATCCGTCGTCAGGCCCCTGCCTACAGCGACCCTCACTTACTGATCTCAGCTCAATCCATATTTACCAGATGCTTCTCCCAAGAGAGAATCCCACCTCTGGGTAAAGACCGAACAGACCTTACCTGTCAGGGGCTCGCTCCGGCTCCGCTGGTTTGGCAGCCGCCTCGGCTCGACCACGAGGACCCAGGTGAGAACCAGGTGCCAGTCACGGTCGCGGGGCTCCCGCTCCCCACAGCTCCCTGCTCCGGTTCAGCCTCATACCCGGCTCCAAAGCTGAAAAGTCAAAGAGGCCGTCACTGAACACCTTGAACTTGGCCAAACACAAATCTTCTGCTCTGCACCCAAGACTCCAGTCTTTTTGAAACAGACACGTGGAATATTTTTCTTTTCAGGGAGATTTAACTTAAAAGATTCTACAAGGAGCAGAGAAAGGAAGAGGTCCACAAGGACCAGGCTTTTTATTGTTGGCGTGTCAATCGACTGCAGGGGCAGATCCTGCCGGCGGAGACCGGAGGACACAGGGAGGCCGCCCCGCGTCCCGGGTCACCATCTTCCCTCGGCAGTAGAAGCAAGTGCCCCCGAGGCAGGCTGGGAACGGAACGCACAGACCTCTGCCCTCTCGCAAGGCCAAGCGTACCTAGCATTCGTGCCGGGAGCCCAGATCCGAGCCCACGTTGTCGTTCCCGGGGTCCTCGCAGGCTGCAACCCTCACCCCACCCCACGGAGACCCCCTTCCGTCTCAGCCCAGGTACCCGCCCCCCTGGTGCCAGCAGGGAGCATGGACTGATGTTCTCCATGAGGCGCACGCGGGTTCAGCGAGCGGGAAGGGGCAGAAGCGGGCAGACCCGCGGTCTGACCCCTGGCCACTTCCTTTTTCGCCGCCTTATGCAACTCATCTACTGAGGGATGGGCAGGAGGGCTGTTCTAGGCTTGAAGAGGAGTGTCAGCACCAAGGCAGAGGCTGGAGGGGAGTTTCCAGTCACCAGGGTGCTCCCTGAGCCGGGCTCCTCTGCAGGCCGGTGGGGAGAGAGCCCACCTCCCCGAGGACAGTAACATATGCTGCTGAATCGTCACGTGCCGAGTGACACACACGCCCCCAACGCCTCAGCAGGGAGAAGAGCATGGAGCGTTCATCACCGCTGCCGCCTCTGTGTGTCCGAGCCGGTCCCCTGCCCGCGGTGTGGGTGCCCCTGCAAGGAGAGGAGATGCCTAGACTAACCTTTCCTGATCACTCGACAGTGGAAATAAAACGTGCCCTGCTGCTGACCCGCGATGGAAGAAGTCCGGGACCTAGAATTTACTAGAAAACCACCGCAGGCGGTCCCACCAGGCACGCTGGCTGGAGATCACGCACAAGAGCCAGAGAGCCCTGGTGCCTCTGCAGGTGACACCCGGGGGAGTCGGGAAAGTCACTGAATTCACTGAGCCCAAGTCCCCAGCTCCAAAATCGACATGGAAATACCATCTCCCCCCGAGGGCTTTTATGAGGCGGAAACGAGCTGACACATGTCAAGCTGTAGGACCCAACACACAGTAAATGCTGAATGAATGCTACATTTTCACGAATGTGACTCTGCCGGCAGCACGCCCGTTGTCAGACGCGGAACACGCCAGCCACCTACAGGCTGTGAAGACTACTGATGCTCAGACAGGACGCTGGCCTTAGGATCGAGAGGGGCACGCAGGTCACAAGAGTATGTGGGGGCATCACACTGAATGCCACCTGCACACGCAAAGGCGTTTTACTAAGGGCACCTGCTGTCATCCTCGCAAAGAATTTGTAACTCCGAAAAGGATTACAGCAAGTGTACCAGGCGGGACGTCTCTAAATTCTAGTAGCTAGGTTGTCCACAAATTAAAAAGAAAAAAAAAAAAAAAAAAAAAAAGGTGAACAGTCAGACAAGCATGAGGGTCTCTGAAATGACAATGGGCCGGGACCGGGGAAACGGACTTGGGTCACGTAACACATCCACTCCTCACACTCTGAGAGGTTTCCCATCTTTTCCAGAGAAACTAATCTTTTTCTGGAGTCTGATCCGAATGCCCCATGGCTACTTCCGGATGTAGCTCTCACACGTATGCTTTTAAATTTGCAACACACACTCGGGACGTTTGCCCCTGACCGCAGGCACCAGGGCATCTGGCTGGCTGAGGGGGTTCGGGGGTCAGGCTCCTGGTTTCCGCTGAGGTCACGATCTCACGGTTCATGGGATCGAGCCCCACATCGGGCTCCGTACTGACAGTGCAGAGCCTGCTTGGGATTCACTCTCTCTCTGCCTTTCCCCACCCGTGAGCTCTGTCAAAACAAAGAAATAAACCTTTTTGAAGAACTATGGGCAACATAAATTAATCTATAATTAAAGAAAAATGACATCCAGTTGTTTGTTCCACCATTGTTGTCTATTCTAGAAACGTGGATATCGAACTTCCCAGCAGAGAGAACAAACACAGGACGGTTTCCGAACACGGTGAGCTGTAAGAGCTCCTGAGACGCGTCCTCACCAAGGGCAGGACCACCCGCCAGGCACAGAGAACTGCTTTAAAGAAGCCTCCAGCGCCGTGTGCACTGGCCCGTCCACACCCACGGCAGCTGTCGCCAACACCAGCAGAGCACAGCCCGACGTGCTGCCTGAGCCGGCCGCGTGTCTCACACGTACCGGCGCCCCGGGGACTCTGTGCCATTCGCGCATCAGTCCAGACAGCGCGCTGCTGCGGGTTCATGGTCAGACACGACGCAAACTTGAAATCCCACATGCGTGAACGTGGGCAAAAAACAAACATCTGGACTCACTTCCAGAGTGTTTCGGAAACAAAGGACCCCTTGATTTCTCTGTAGCATCTGTGATATCTTCCAAAAATTCCAGAGTGAGTATTAATCTTTCCATCCGTCTAGCTTCCCCGCGCTAAATATTTAGAGTAATAACAGTGACTATTTAGACATTCAACAAACCCCCACGTTCACGAGGAGGCTATTGGGCGGGTTCAGCCACACGGCTCTGGAATGAAGTCTAGGCCTTTATAAAAGGGGACAGAATAGCCTTAATTCAAAAAACTGAACTCAGCACCGTGCTGATGTCAGAGCCGCTTGTGACAGCAAGCTGAGAAAGACAGCTGGAGAAACAGCTCAACGAAATGGAACTGAAGAAAGGCGAGGTTTTTTTTTTAAAAAAGTCATTATATTGGGGCGCCTGGGTGGCGCAGTCGGTTGAGCGTCCGACTTCAGCCAGGTCACGATCTCGCGGTCCGTGAGTTCGAGCCCCGCGTCAGGCTCTGGGCTGATGGCTCAGAGCCTGGAGCCTGTTTCCGATTCTGTGTCTCCCTCTCTCTCTGCCCCTCCCCCGTTCATGCTCTGTCTCTGTCTGTCCCATAAATAAATAAAAACGTTGAAAAAAAAAATTTTTTTTAAAAAGTCATTATACAAGTTCAGAGTGCTACTGCCCGACCCTGAGGACAGCGGAAGAGAGAAGCGAGGATTAAAGCGGAAACACCGCACCTCGCGTCACTTTCAGCGGGATGTGCTATTCCAGCAAGGCCACAGATGCCCCCACCCGGCGGGCGGGATGGGCCATGAGGAAAAAGGAAACTGGGAGCAGAAGGAAGTTAAAACACAACGAGACCCCCCCCCCCAATGCCAACATCATACTTTCGAACCGGCGAACACACAGGACACGTTCAGCAACAACAACCGCACAGTGACTCAGCTCCCGCGTGGCCCGTCCACCAGCGGACACTCGGCGGGGGCTCCACAGAGATGTCTAGTGGGCCCAGGACAGAGCAGACACATCCCAAACTGGCCGCCATCACAGAAACCGACACACCTTAATCAAAACGGATGAATGGGCCACGAACAGGGTCCTCAATTCCAGGGTCAAGCAGAACCAGCGATCCCAGAACCAGTCTTCACCATGTGGCTTCCAGGAGCCACCAAGCAAAGCTCAAAGATGGGTTACCCCATGGACCCGTGTCTGCGGCCGCCCAGACTGGAAAGGCAGTTAAGACCAGGGAGCGCCTACTTGAGAGAGGGAGGACGCTTCTCTCTACAAGTGATCTAAGGTCAGTGCCACAGTGAGGGTCAGGACAAACCCATGCACTCACAGACACGGTAACTGACCAGAGAATGGGGGAAAACGCCCTTCTCGGCAGCTGATACACACACGCGCGTATTTCAGTCCAGTGCTAGCAAGAGCCCTAGGTACACCAAAGGGTATCACCACGCACTTGACGTGCTTAAGAGACCCGGGCAAATGGAAACATGCTACGTTCCTAGAGGGGAAGATTAAACACCACACAAAGACTTTGATCCTCTTAAGAGTAATTAGTTTCAAACCTAAAATTAATTTTGTAAATGAAATGCAGGCATCAATCTAAATGCATTAAAACGACCGAAGTACCGTGAGATTGCCGATTGTAGCGCATTAGGGGAGAACTGCACTCACCCTTCAGTAAATTATAAAGCAAAAGTAGTTAAAATAGTGTGGCACCGGCATATAGATACATGCGAGCATTCATCAGAAAGAGAAGGACTTAGGGGAGCAGGGTGGCTCAGTCAGGGGAGCGTCAGCTCTTGATTGTGGCTCTGGTCACGATCTCATGGTTCATGGGATCGAGCTCCGAGTCAGGCTCTGTACTGACAGCACAGAGCCTGCATGGGATTCTGTCTCTACCCGCCCCCCCACATGCGCACGTGTTTTCTCTTTCTTGCTCTCTCAAAAGTAAATAGGGGCACCTGGGTGGCTCAGTCGGTAAAGCGTCCCACTTCGGCTCAGGTCATGATCTCACGGTTCATGGGTTCGAACCCCACATCTGGCTCTCTACTCTCAGTGTAGGGCCTGCTTTTGATTCTGTGTCTCCCTCTCTCTCTCTCTGCCCCCCGCCCTTGCTCACACTCTGTCTCTGTCTCTCTCTCTCTCTCAAAAATGAATAAATATTAAAAATTGTTTTTAATGAATAAATAAACAAAAAGAAATTAGGGCCAGCAAGCCCAGGTGACAGCAGGAATCACCACGGTTCGAGGCCCTTGATGATACAGCGAGGTACGGTACAGAAACATGGTGTGAAAGTTGTCCAGGCAGAAAGAAAAGCCAGTGTTGTTTCCAGAGGACATTCAGGACCAGCTAAAAACCGATGTCAGCATCAAATGAGGTCACGATCCCAGAGCAACCCACACAATGGAAGCAAGACACTTACGAAGCAAGGATAAAGTAGTTTCATTCACAGAAGCAACACAAACAATGTACTTAAGAAGCATACACAAGAGGTTCTGAAGAAAACAT